CAGCCTGAGCAAGAGCGAGACCCGTCTCTACTATAAAATAGAAAGAAATTAATTGGCCAACTGATATATATATAAAAAATTAGCCGGGCATGGTGGCGCATGGCCTGTAGTCCCAGCTACTCGGGAGGCTGAGGCAGGAGGATGCTTGAGCCCAGGAGTTTGAGGTTGCTGTGAGGTAGGCTGACGCACGCACTCACTCTAGCCTGGACAACAAGTGAGACTCTGTCTCAAAAAAAAAAAAAACTAAAACCAAAACAAAGTCTTCTGTGGTTGTAAATATGTTTACTAAATAGGTGTTTCAGATCAGCATGTAGTGACTCTGTGTTTAAGTGGAGCGTGAGCCAGTAAGGAGACTGAGGAGTGGAGGCTGTCGTAGCTGTCCAGGAGGGAAACAGTGGCAGAAGTCATGGGGAGAGAAGTGAACCACTTCTTGGGGTACTGAGGAAAGCAATTACAGAATTTGGCAAATGATTTGATACAGGATATCTGCCTTCGAGGGCTGAGAAAGACTTCAGGTTTTTAGCATGAGTAACCAGGTGGATTAAGGTGCCATTTGACACTGTAGGGGAGGGGAATAACTAGCGTGTGTATCAAGAGTGGGATTTTAGTTCAGTTTAAGACCTGCTGACTTTGAGGTGCTGGTGCCAAGTCATCCACAGGAAGAGGCTGTGTAGCAGTTAATTACGTGAATCTGTAGTTGAGATAAAGTTCTTGGCTGCAGATACATGTTGAAAATCAGTATCATATAGACGGTAATAAAGGCAAGGGAGGGAATGAATTCACCTGGAGAGTAGTGGCCTCTACAAGTAACTCCTGGCGCCTTAAACTTCACATGGCCACACCGCAGCCTCGAGCCCCACCCTGCAGTCTTCTGTAGCATGGACATGGCACTAGTTCAGCTCTCAAGCTAAAATGGAATCTTCCCTTTCCACATGCAGCATTCAGCTTCTGTGTGCCCGGCACTGTTTTAGGCTCTAGGGAAATAGTAGTAATAAAGCAAAGCCCCTTACTCTCATGGCATTTACTTGAAAAGAGTGAAAAGACAGTAACAAAACATGTATGACGTGGTGGTAAGTGTTGTAAAGGCGAATGGTGGTGGGTTCGGGGGCCGCTGCGAGGGTTCCCTAGGGAGACCAGTCAGGGACAGCTTTGCTGATAAGGCAGGCATTTGAGCAGAGGCCTGCAGGTGGCCAGGGAATGAGAAGGGACATTTCAGACCAGTGAACAGCAAGTAAAAGACCCGAGGTTCAGAGCTTTGGTGATATGTTTGAAAAATAGCAGGATAGCTAGAACTGAGTGATCCAGAACCAAGACCATGGGTGAGAGGTGTGGAGGTGGGGTGGGGCAGCTGGGTCATGATGGGATTTGGGAATTACATGTGACATGGGAAATATTAGAAGTTTAGCAGAGAAGTGATATGGCGAGAGAGAAAATATAACCCACTCCCTCGGATTCACATCGCCCTCGCTTCAGTCTATGGAGAATTGAGAAAGCTGGCGACCAGAGGATGACTGGAAAAGTTCCTGAGACAGTGTGAGAGGGTAGGATGGAGAGAGCATGAGGGAAGGCTTGGCCTGACAAGGAAAAGGGCAAGGCAGTATGGAAGGGAGAAGGAAGAAAGGATGGCTGTACATTAAAGCTGAAATACTGTCTAATGCTCTTTTTTTCCTCTGTGAAATAAGCAGCCATCTTTTGAGACAGAATGACAGTCAGATTTTTTTTTTTTTTTTTTTTTTTTTTTTGAGACAGAGTCTCACTTTGTTGCCCAGGCTGAGTGAGTGCCGTGGCGTCAGCCTGGCTCACAGCAACCTCAATCTCCGGGCTCAGCGATCCTACTGCCTCAGCTCCTGAGTAGCTGGGATACAGGCATGTGCCACCATGCCCAGCTAATTTTGTGTATATATATATTGGTTCTAGTTGGTCAATTAATTTATTTCTATTTTTGGTAGAGACGGGGTCTCGCTCAGGCTGGTTTTGAACTCCTGACCTTGAGCAATCCGCCCGCCTCTGCCTCCGAAAGTGCTTGGATTACAGGCGTGAGCCAGCACGCCCGGCGGACAGTCAGATTTTAAAGGGAGTGGAAGTTTGAAATAGTTGTTGGAGACAGTGGGAATACCCGTTGGCACCAGAGTACAATAGTAGGATTCCTAAAGATTTGAAGGTCTGCTTGAGGTTATTGACCTTGAATGTATGGTGATGTCAGAATGTTCTGTTTTTTTCAAGACTTTGTTTTAGCAGCACTCTGAAGCTCTTGTGTGGAAAATTCAACTCACTTAGGTTGGAGGATTTGCTGGGTGTGTGATGAAAGGACAAAGGGCAGTCCTGAGAATTTAAGAAGGGTAGTTAAGACCATAGGATCAAAGCGGGGTTGAGAGAAATAAAGACACCACGGAACTAATGGTTAAGGAGCAAGGAAAGGGGTCAGTTTGCTTGGGTCCCTGCTGGCGTGGGAGAGCAGGTGTCCTGTTGGTAACTGGACAGAGAGCATCAGAAGTCGTGGTCTAAGAGTGGGATTTTCTGAATATGTGACCTGAGAATTGGCATGTTTCAGGTGTTGACGTATCCTGGGTGCGGCCTGGGCTGTGGGTATAGAGATGGAGTGGAAGAATATGTTGCTAGAGATAAGATGCTCAAGAAACCAAGAGGTCTCCAGACTGGATGGGTGTACATGAGTTTCCTCAGCAAACAACTGGACACCTACCCTATGTCTAGTGGTGTTCTAGGACCTTGACCTAGAAGTGAACAAAACAAAGACAGCTGTGCTCTTGTGGGACCTATATATTGTCCTGTGATGAAATGGATGATGAACAATAAACTAAAAAACTAACTGAATGATTACTGTGTGGCAGGTGAGTTGGTAGAGGAATTTCTGGAGGCAGAGGGACCATGCACAGTGATTCCAGGGAGCAGTGATGGGTACTGATGGGGGGAGGTGACTGTAAAGAGCCCCAGAGGCAGAGGCAGAGGGACTTGTGACTTACTACATAGGAATGATTAAGAGAGGAAAATGATTCAGAGATTATCCTGACATTCAAACTTTGGTGACAGGAGGAGGAGGTAATTAAGTGTTGAAGAGAACACAGCAGCAGCAGCTGTTGGAGAAAGAATCATGTTGCTAATGGGTTGGGAAATGTGGATAATATTAGCTCACACTTTGGTTTTTAAGAATAATGGCATCTTTGGGGAAAGCCAGATTTTGGTAAAGGTTGAGTGAAGTGACTTGAGGATGTAAAGCCATTTTTCTCATGGTAGAACAGAGACTCTGGAGAATGCCTCAGGGAAGCCAGCAGAGTGGGAATGGAGGCGTGCTGGGTAGCTGGGTGCCGTGGGAAGAGAGAGTGGCTGAGGATAGAGCTGACCGGCCCAGCTCTGACTCTGCATAGAACTTTGGTGCAGTATCATGACCTGGTTTTAAATTTCCAGTCCAGTTGTATACTCACCCTGTTGGCTGTGTCCCCACCGGGGCTCATGATAGAGTGAGGGAAGCCGGACAGGTGGCCCATGGCCACTAGTCAGATACTGTCACTTTGACCATACCTGGGGTTTTTTGAATACCAAGAAAGTATTTTATTTAGTTCTGATTCCAGAGTTTTGCCATCGTCTACCTGGGATGCTGCTTCAAGTGTTCAGTGTATAAGCCTGAGGGATTTTTTCATTTGAGGAATATTTGTGGATGAGGAGTTATATTCATGTAAGGGATGTTTTAAAAAAATTAACTTAGAGTAAATATTGGTAGTGGAAAAATGTCTGATTTACATGTAATTAAAAAAGTCCTTCTCCTCATTTTTACCCACCAGAGGTGTCTGCTCTTAACTTTTTTTTTTTTTTTTGAGACAGAGTCTCTCTTTGTTATCCAGGCTAGAGTGAGTGCCGTGGCGTCAGCCTAGCTCACAGCAACCTCAAACTCCTGGGCTCAACTGATCCTACTGCCTCAGCCTCCCAAGGAGCTGGGACTACAGGCACACGCCACAAAGGTTGGCCAATTAATTTCTTTCTATTTATAGTAGAGATGGGGTCTCGCTCTTGCTCAGGCTGGTTTTGAACTCCTGACCTTGAGCAATCCGCCCGCCTTGGCCTCCCAGAGTGCTAGGATTACAGGCATGAGCCACCGCGCCCGGCCCTGCTCTTAAACTTTTAATGCAATATTTTGACATAGAGTGGAGAATGGTAAACACTGCTATACTCACCACCTGGCTTAAGAAGTAAATGTCAGGCCAGGTGTGGTGGCTCATGCCTGTAATCCTGTAGCACTCTGGGAAACCGAGGCAGGAGAATCGCTTGAACTCAGGAGTTCGAGACCAGCCTCAGCAAGAGTGAGACCTCATCTCTACTAAAAATAGAAAAATTAGCCACCTTTGTGGCGTGTGCCTGTAGTCCCAGCTCCTTGGGAGGCTGAGGCAGTAGGATCAGTTGAGCCCAGGAGTTTAAGGTTGCAGTAAGCTATGATGACACCACTGCACTCTACCCTAGTTACAGAGTGGGACTCTGTCTCAAAAAAAAAAAAAAATGACAAATCCCTATGCTATTGTGTTCCTGTTGTCACATTCTCCTTTCCCCACAGAAAGAACCACACATGTATATCTCCTCAGACAACATGCAGTAGTTTTGAATGTTATTAAACTTAATAGAAACAGTAAATTACTCTGTTTTCTATAACGTTTTTTCACTCAAAATATATTTCTGGAATTTATCCATGTTGATACACATAGCACTTACTCGTTTTTTTCACTGCTGTATAGTAGTTCATTTTATGAAACCATTTGTTCTACAATATTATTTTAATGACTAGTGTATTCTATAAATGTAGTATAGTTTATTAAATCTATTCCTTTTATTTAAGCATTAGGTTGCTTCTATTTTTTTTATCTAAAAGGATTAATATTCTTTCATTTTAATTTTTGTACATAACCATTATTATGTCCTTAGAAATAATAGAAGTAGATTTGCTAGGTTGATACTTGTACATACTTTTAAATATGAAAGAAAATATTTAAAGTGAAAAATATTTTTTTTACTGCAATTATTTTTGAAAGAAAGGCTATGAATCCATTTGTTTTCTTTATTTTCAGTCCCTCTTTCAGTTACCTGAATTTCGAAGACTTGTTCTCAGCTATAGTCTGCCACAAAATGTCCTTGAAAATTGTCGAAGTCACACGGTAAGTTGGTGTTGAGGAATTTCTTCAGTGTTGGTTGGTTCCTTTCATCCCAAAGACTTCTAAATTTTTGACTAAAGCTGATAACTGCGATACTCCGTGGCTTATGCTAATTTTTCTTTTCACTTCTACGTGGCTCTTTTCCCTTTGTGGCAAAAAATAAGGGTTTGCAAAATTAGAAAAATACTTCCAAGAAAGCGCAGGTGGGGAGAGTCTAAATACCTGTTTCTGTTTGTGGTGTCCTTCACTCCTCCTTAGCTGCTTGGCCGAGTGATGGAGAAGAGATGACCCAGGCCCAGAGGCCTGGATCTTCTCAGAAGAGTTTTGAGTCTGTCCTTACTGAAGGATGTAGCCCCTTCCCAGGATCTAACTCTTCCCAGGGTATCACCTTGGTGTGAGTGCATCTTCCTCACGGAGCACAGGCAGCAGTTTCAGAAAGTGGACTTTTCTGTTTTTCCTTCAATATTCTCTCTCTGGCTCCTACATAGTTATTCTGCAGTTTAGAGTAACCCTCTATGTTCCTTATGGGAGTCCCTACAATGTAGTTTGAGACCAGTCTCTGACATAGCCCTAGGTAAATATAAATTAAGGAGTAATTACTGATAGTTTTTCTCTCTTAATGTTCTGATTTTCCAAGTAAGAGTAAGTGCAGTGTTTTCTATAGGACAAGAGAAATATCATGTTTATGCAAGAGCTTCAGTATTTGTTTGCTCTGATGATGGGATCAAATCGAAAATTTGTGGACCCTTCAGCAGCCCTGGATCTGTTAAAGGGAGCATTCCGATCATCTGAGGAACAGCAGGTATGAAAGAAGCTTCGTTCTTCTCTTGTTTTCCCCCAGACTCTGTAGAGTTGAAGTCATGCCTTATTTACGTGACTGTGATAGTGCTTTGTTTCAGCTGTGTAACAAGCAGTGAACATGATTCAGCAGGACTGTGGGTGCCTGTTTTTGCCTTTTATTTTGCCCGCAGAGCAGGTGGGGAGAGAGGGCTGTGTGTTCGTGAGAGAGAGTGTATGAGAGCATGTGTGCTACACTGGGGCTGGCAGTTCTAAAGAGAAGAAATAGTAGAAAGGATAGTAGACTTTTATAGGGGCTGTTGCAGTAGGAGGAAGGATATTGGAAAATATCTCAATGAGCCATAGCAAAGTGTCACCAAGAAAAGTAGTTCTTTGCACCTTTGTCCTTGGATGACCCAGGTGGAAATCCTATTTTTAAAACTAAACCTGAGTTCAGCAGCTTTTCTGAGCAGTCTTTCTCTTTTAGATTTCAATACTTTCCTTTCTCTACCTCCTATTAGAAAGAAAAGCTGTCACTATTTTATCAGCTTCTTATATGAATTAAAAAATTTTTTTTCCCTATTTAAAGGTCCTATGGTTCTACAAAATTCTCAAAACTCATAAATGTTTTCTTTCTCTATTCAGATCTCATATTCTAGAACTACAGTCTGTTTTGGGTGCCTTTTTTTCAGAAGGCTTAATGGGAAGATTTTGTTTGTTTGTTTTTCTTTCTCTGTCACAAATAGATGTAGCTAGCAATGGTAGAGTTCCAATTTCCTTCTAGCCACAACTTAGTCAGAGGTAATGCACCTTCTGTTTTTTCTGTACTAGCTGGGTTCCGATCTTCTGGTGTCTTCATATTTGGCTCTAAAACAGAAATAACTTTCATAGTAGAATCTTATTTCATTGGTGGGATAAGGGCAAATTTTCATTTCCCTAAGCATAGTGTTGGTTCTAACTCTTATGCAATTTGTGCCTCTCTTATAGCAAGATGTGAGTGAATTCACACACAAGCTCCTGGATTGGCTAGAGGACGCATTCCAGCTAGCTGTTAATGTTAAGTGAGTGTTGAGGGTTTGTTTGTACATCCTTCTGACTCACAGTGGGCCAGTGAGAATTGTGACGTGGGGGAAAGTTAAGACTTCTCAAGTAGAAATTGCTGCTTTTTACGAAACCTCATGGGGTAACCACTGATTTATTCCTTGTTGTGTATCCCCGTTGCCTTTGTTTCCCCCCTCTGAGAATGTAGCTGATAACCTTAACCTGCAACTTTTTAATTAAAAGGGCCATAACTGTTAACTTTGTTGAAGGCACACCATGTGCTGTAAAATGTTTTTTTAAAAACCTCAAATCAATCCCTAGATGTGAACATGGTAGTATAATATAGATACATTAAATTCAATCTAAGACCACTTTTGAAGTCTACTTAGAATGTGTCCAGAATAGAGTTTAATCATTTCGGTCACTAATAAAAATGAAATTTAGGGCAAAGAATACATATATGCCTTGCCTAATACAGATGCTGAGAAGTTTGTTTTCTAAATAGTTTTAATTCTAGGTAGAATAATTATATTGAATATATCATAAAATGGCTTTGCAGAGAGCAGCTAACTTAATAATAATTTAAGATGGCTAGTAAAAAAATAACTTTTAATTTCTTTTGTGCCACTGAGAAAACTTTTTTGTATTTATTTGCAAAACTGTGCAAGAGAGTCCATTCTTATCTCTATACTATTTCTACACCCTGTATACATCTATTGTTGGATATAGATGTATATATTGAATGCATGCAAATACATGTGTTTGTCTGCATGTGTGACTCCTACCTAAAGGACTTTTAGACTATCAGACTTTAAGCCCCAGGGATCATGCCTTATTGCCTTTGCTTCTTCAGAGATAGCCCAATGCCAGGCATATATACTCGTTCAACAAATGTTTGAACTGAACTAATCTGCTACCTTAAACCATACCTGGCTCTTTGAGGGTTGATGAAAATGCACTATTTTTGCCTTTGGATGATACTTTGATTTTGTGTATAGTCAATATCTTATACAAATGATCCAGAATTGTCTCCCTTTCTTAAAAGCAGCAATCCCAGGAACAAATCTGAAAATCCAATGGTGCAGCTGTTTTATGGTACTTTCCTGACTGAAGGGGTTCGTGAAGGTAAATTCTGTATTCTTAATGTTAATTCTAGACCTGTGACCATATATCTGTATTACTGTGTCCCTTTTAGGAGGCAGTATAATGAATAGCTTGAGGATCTGACAAGCCCAGGTCTGAATTTGGGTTTTGCCTCTTAGTATATCTGTTTAATTGTGGACAAACTGTGCGAGCCCCAGGATCCTCAGTCTCTTCATCTGTGAAATGTGCATGATATTTAGTTGTCATATAAAATTGTATAATATTTGCATAGCCCACATCTGGCATTAATGTCAGACACATATAATGTCACTCAGTTTTCTTTGTGTTGTTGTTTCCAATGTAATATCTCAAAAGGTTTTATTGAGTTAGACTGCCAAAAATGCTTGTCTACTCTAGAGGTTTATCTAAGCTGCATACTGGACACATAATTTTTTTTTAACTGTGGAAGAATTTTGACCACATACAAAAAGAGCAATATAAAAACCCCCATTACTGGGTGCGGTGGGTCACACTTATAATCCTAGTACTCTGGGAGGTCAAGATGGGAGGATTGCTTGAGCTCAGGAGTTCGAGACCGTCCTGAGCAAGACCTACACCCTGTTTGTACAAAAAAATAGAAAAATTAGCTGGATGTGGTGGCATACGCCTGTAGTCCCGGATGTTTGGTAGGCTGAGGCAGGGGGATGGCTTGAACCCAGTAGTTTGAGGTTGCAGTGATCTACGATGACACCACTGCCCTCTAGCCTGAGTGACAGAGTAAGACCCTGTTTCTAAAACAAAAAAATAAAACCTATGAACTCAGTAACCATTAGTCTATAGCCAGTCATTCCCTGCCTCACTCCTATCTACTCGTACCCCTCTCATATTCTTTGTAAAACACAACCCAGTACTGCTACCACTCCAAAAGGTAGCATTTAAAAATATCTAGTCAGTGTTCAAATTTCCAATTTGCATACATAATTTTAAAAAGAGAATTTTTTTTTTACACTTTGTTTTAGTAAGGATCCAGATGTGATTCATTTATGACTGGTTGATACATGTTTTAAGTCTCTTGAGTATCTGTAGAGACTCCTCCTCCATCCTTCTTTCCTTGAAATGTATTTTTTGGAGAAATGAGGTTTTTGTTCTATGGTATTAATATTTCCCACAGTCTAAGAATTTTTTGCTTACACTCCCAGGATACGTATTTAACATATTTTAGCATATTCCCCTCTACTCCTCTTCTTGTAAATTGGTAGTTGGAACTAGAAATTTGACTAAATTCAGGTAAGGCTTTTTTTTTTTTTTCCTGGCAAAACCAAGTCACAGGTGGTGGGAAGGTCTTTGATCAGGAGGCTCATAAAGTCTGATGATCTTTCCTTTTGCAGTGTTAGCGGTTGTTGACATCAATGTTTGGATCCACTGGCTCATTAGAGGTTGCCATATAGGCTTAAGTGCATTTCTAACCAGTTCTCAGGAAGCTGGTGAATTTAAGATTATTTTCTCTGTGGTGCCAGAAAATAGGCTTTAGATGGTTGAAGCGATGACTTTAAAAATCAGTCTCTGTCTTTGCCTAGGAAAGCCCTTCTGTAACAACGAGACCTTTGGCCAGTATCCTCTTCAGGTAAATGGTTATCACAACTTAGACGAATGTTTGGAAGGGGCCATGGTGGAGGGTGACATTGAGCTTCTTCCCTCCGATCATTCGGTGAAGTATGGACAAGAGGTAAGACGCACACTTTTGTTGGCTGTGCCAGTGACAAAGCCAGTTAAGGACTGAGCTTTTAGGCAGATTCATTTCCCATCACATATTAAGTAACTTTACACTTAAAAAAGAACTTGAATTTGTCTTAACTCTCTCATCAGTTGATGTGAGTCAGTGAGTCTTAGTACTTTGATAAATAAACCTTTACTAAAACTATGAATTTGAGTCAGTCATGAAAAGGTTGTATGCTGCTTCTGATGTTTTAAGTATGATTAAGTTTCTCTCTTTCTGTTGAAGCCTACCTGTACCTGAGTAGGGAGAACCCACTGCCTCCATATTTTCGGAGGGTAAAAGTACAGTGATTAACTCCTATGGTATGCCATTTAGAATATTTTCCCTGTCATAGTATTTGCCATTCTCAATTGTCAATTTTGCCTTTGCTTTTAACATTTTTTAAATTTAATTTTCATTCATGTATTTATTTACTTTTGTGGGTTGGAAAGAAAGGGGGGAAGTTAGAGTGAGAACAAGAGAAATTAATATCTCAAAATTCTAGTTGGGCTAAGAATTAGGGAGTGGCATTTGTAGCTTAATTATTAACATTATACAACTTGGATCGTTCTCCTTTCATTGTACATTTTTTGAGACAAAATTGTGGCTTTTCTAAGAGTCCAACTCAGTAATTTTTATAGGAGAAAGTAGAGCTTTCTTGAATTAAGATAGGGAACCTAATAGGAGCCTTGTGAAAGTGTATTGTCTGTAGAGCCGTGTTGGAACTCCGAGAGAGCTACTGCTTCCCTCGCTTTTCAAGGAAAGAGCTAATTCCTAATGGGAAGCATATCACCTGTACCATCTATGCAGACCTAATGCATTCTCTTACGAGAGAGGGAATGTTCCCTAGCTACTCAAACTTCTGGAGAACTATTTTCAAGCATGGGAACTCTTTATAAAAATACAATAAAAACAAATAAAAATCATCATGCTTGTTTAGAGTTAGTTGTGACTCTACAGAGTCACAAGAGAACACTGTTGGCACCTTTGGTAAAGGGAACATTTTAAAAGGCCCTTCTTGGGAACCTCTGGCATACAGGTGAATTGGACAGAAATGCCTTTCCTGGTTTAGCTTTTCCTCACCTATGATCAGTGACAGTTGAAATCTTTTTTTATAAGTTTGTGATTTTCTTTTTTGAAGTCAAGGTAATAACATTGTAGGTTGATTTGACTGGCTTCATTATGAGGCATCTGTAAATTTTTGGAATTCAGAGATTTTTGTCAGAAACTTGAGAAATTATAAAATCCTGAGGCTATTTCAAGTTTCCTTTTAGACATAAGTTTCCTTTTAGACATAAGGGGGATTCAAATTTTGGTTAAGAGAGTGTAAATAGTACATTATATAAGTACACATATTAGTCTTTCAGTAGATCTGTGGAGACAGTTGTCTCCTTAGTTATGTGCTGCATAGATGATAATTTCTCATTATTTGGTTAGGCCAGCTGTTTCCTTCAGGTTTTGAATACTGAGTCCCCTAAGAGAGTGTGATCCTCAGTGTTCATTTTCTTTAGTATTTGGGATAAAAAATGTTCTTCCATGAGTTTGATTTTGAATATAGGTTCCATACCAAAAGAATAAAGTTTGATGAGGGATATTTTAAATCTGGCTATTGTTATTTCCTAAAATTAATTTTTCTTGCTCCCACGTTGTTGCTCCTGACAATAGCGTTGGTTTACAAAGCTACCTCCAGTGTTGACCTTTGAACTCTCAAGATTTGAGTTCAATCAGTCCCTTGGGCAGCCAGAGAAAATTCACAATAAGCTGGAATTTCCTCAGATTATTTATATGGACAGGTGAGTTCTTGGTGGATTTTCTTCCTGATGTATTGCAGCAGTAGAAACGAGCATGCACTAAATATATTGCACATAGGAATCACCGGGAAGTCTTGATAATATGCAAATTTGAATTCAGTGGATATAGGTTGGGGCCCAAGAGTTTGCATTTCTAGACACTCCCAGGATGATGCTAGTGATGCTTCTAATCTCTGGACAACAATTTGAATAGTGACGCTTTAGGTGAAAGCCCTGTCACTTTGGGAACAGTAGTAGGTACAGTATGTGGAGTAGCCAATAGTGTATTTGTTTTGAATCTGAATACTATCTGTATTCCTTGGGAGGGGAAGGGGTGGGGGGAGCCCTAGACAGACTTACATTATAGAATTTTTTACCCCTTTTTGGGGGGGGCAGTGCATCAGTCTTTCACTATTAGATATGATGCTAGCTGTGCATTTTTTATAAATGCCCTTTATCTGATTGAGGAAGTTTCCTTGTATCCCTAGCTTGCTGAAATTTTGTGTCATTTATGTTTTTAAATATCAGTTCTGTTTGTGGGATTATCATTTGCTTAGGTACATGTATAGGAGCAAGGAGCTTATTCGAAATAAGAGAGAATGTATTCGAAAGTTAAAGGAGGAAATAAAAGTTCTGCAGCAAAAACTTGAACGGTAAGTTGTGGCTACCTTTGTGCTTAGCAGTGTAAAAGATAGTAGAATGTTAAAATAAGATCATTTGTTTATATTTAAAAATTAATTCAGAGTTTCAGTATTAACTAGGGTAGTTTATGATATAGCTAAGAAAAATTATTTTTGAGTGTGGAATGGTCTTTAAGATCAGCTAATATTATCCATGGGTAAATAGTAGTCCTAGGAAACTTAGTGACCCAGAGTCACCCAGTTAGTTACTGGCAGTGTACCGAGGAGGACCCGAGTTCTGATTTTATAGCTTTTTACCTTTTCTACTCTCCTTGCTATCTTTTTCACAAACATGAGACAGACGGTTGTCACAATGCTCCAGTTCACTTGTCTTGGAAAAGCAGTTTTTGAAGTGTCCAGGAAAGGTAAAAAATAATGCTGTTCTATCTAGAACAAGGCTGATTGATTAAGCGTTAATTTTCTGATACATACAAAATCCTTTCTGTTACAGAGGAATCTTTGCTTTTCTTGATTGTTTTACACTGATGATTTCTGTGGAATCATCCTCCGATTTCCTTAGGGGGAGTCAGTGTAATTTCTCCCTAGTCTAGATCGCATTGATTTAAGCATTTAAAAAGGAAATCCCATACATTGTCAATGGCTCTTCCTCCTTTTTATCTATTTACCAATTTCCCTCCTACCACAACCCCACCTCCACCCAGGCCCTTGCTAGGTCATTAATTTCCCTGAGGGGCAGCACTTTTCATACGAGGCCCAAGATGGACCCTGCACCCTACCCCAGCCACCACAGCTTCTGCTTCCCTCTGTCTCAGGAAGACCTTACCTAGGAGTAATGTGACCAGTCATCCATTTGTCTTAATAGAGACTTAAGCTGAAGATTGAGTCATCAGATACTGTCCTGGAAGTGATTTATAGGACTCTAAGTGTGGCATTATTTTATTTTAAAAGTTCTAGTGATACTTTGTAAGCCTGGAAATTTTAAATTATTTTTATAGAACCAAACATACCTGATGTTTTATGGCTCAAAACTACTCAATTTACTAGTAAGCCAGCGAGGCATTCTGAATTATTTAGATTGTAAAATAGAGTACAGTACCATTTCTTAGTATGACATTACTTTTGTTTTAAAATAAAATGACTTTTAAAATTTTATATAATTTCGACTTTTTTGTTTTTGTTTTTTTTAAAGGCTACACATATCTTTTTATGTATATATTCCTGGGAAAATATATAAGCTTGAGCAACAAAGGGAGACTCCATCTCTAAAAGAAATAAATAAAATATTATTTTGGTCACATACTTGAAGATATTTATTATGTACACATCTCAAAGAAGTCTTCAATAATTTTTGCCTGGCCTGTGACATTGTATGAGGGTATTTCAGACCCTTTAGAAGAAACATTTGCCAATTTTCTTAAACTCTGGCCTTTATCGACACCTATTTCCCATTTCCAGCTTTCTTTCTCTCTTTTTTGCATTATAAAGTAGTTGGTCTAAAAGACAGCAAAGAAAAAACCTTTATGTACTAGCTTACCAGAATTTTTTTTCAGATTTGGGTACTAGTAATACATCTATTTTCCTTTAAGGAACAATTTATTTTTATGGCCAGAGCCTAAATGTGATATGACATCAAAAGAAAGCATAACTGGCATGTCTTTGATTAGGAGCCCATTTGAAATGTTTCCTGCTGGAATAAAACTTTAGATTATTGGCATTTGTTGCTTTTGTAGTTAGAGAATTTTTACTCTACAGATTGTTTGAGTATTGCCTTTAGGATTAAGCCTTTCCATTGACTCTGTATGATGGACAGATCTTTTGTTTGCAAGTCCTAAAATATAAAAGGGACTTGGGTGGTAGAGTACCACTGTCTTTGCCTCCTAGGTATGTGAAGTACGGCTCAGGCCCAGCTCGGTTCCCACTCCCGGACATGTTGAAATATGTTATTGAATTTGCTAGCACGAAACCTGCCTCAGAAAGCTGTCCACTTGAAAGTGACACTTGCATGACATTACCACTTTCTTCAGTGCACTGCCCAGTTTCTGACCTGACATCCAAGGAAAGGTAATAAAAACAAATTTTTTAAATGGCACCTGTTGTTTTTCTGGTTTAATTTAAACTATGTACCATCTTTTTACCTGCTTTTTACTGACCCCATAAGAGCTCAGGAGCTGTGAGCTCTTTGTCTTAAAGGGAAGGATTTTGCCAGTTGTCACTTGGGTGAGAGTGTTCATAATTCCCACCAGTGCACTTGTCTTGCCCACAGGATGGTTGGGATTATTTCAGCAGCTTCTTGATAGTGTGTGTTCATGCTCCACCCGGGCTACTTTGTGTTGAGCTACAGGCTAGCTGCCACTGAAGACCTTTCTCAGAGCAAACCTCAAGCCCTGCTCTTCTAGAACATCTCATGCTCCATCTGCTGTGAAGTATGCATGACTAAGTAAACATTAAGAAAAAAAAAGACTTATCCATGAACACAAAATTAAAACATGGAAAAGAACTGTCTAGTCCTTGAAAGAGGACAGCCCAGAGGGGCTTGTCCAGTGAAGACAGAGGGAGGCCAAGTTACACGAGCCTTCTGATTCTATTCCAGCTTGGCCACGCACAATATGGCATAAAGGAGCCACCCGGGTTGGCTAGCATCACATCTGTTATGTGTGTCCTGGCAAATAAAAACACTAATACTCATGTAAAAAGTTAGACTTTTATGTTAAAAAAAATCCAACTATCTCCCTATGACTCCCCCATACACATATTAACATTTATTCATCCATATATGGTTAGAAATGCTTATCTGGACAAAACATACGAAGTGTTCTGTCTCCAGGGAATGACCTGAGTCTGGGGATGGGGTGGGGAATTCTCTCATTCTTTATACTCTACATATGTTTTTTAATTTTTTTAAAAAATGGAATGCTTTCATGTATCTTGTGGAATATAAATGGTTTTAACTTTTAAAAGTGGTTGGGTAGGCTTTTTAATCAATTAAATAATGCTGGTAGATATTATTAGATTTTAAAATTGCAGGGACATGTATGTGTAATGTCTTCTGAGATTGAGGTATCTGCTTTTTTACTTATTGGGTTTATTTTTCCATACATATTGGTCCTTGGGGAAAAGCGGTTCCCTCATTATTTTGTGCATGGAGTGGGGAGGGATTCTTTTAAGTCAAAGTCAAAGGAAATTTATGTTCTTCAGTTTTGTTGTGAAATGGAGACCTAAGTATAGTTAGAACCTTGTTTTATGTTCTTGCTGGTTTGTCTATGTGTAGTTTTACTCTGATGATAGTTAATTAGTATAGCAGTCCCCAGCCTTTCTGGCACCAGGGACTGGTTTCATGGAAGACAGTTTTTCCCGTGATGGAGTGGGATGGGGGAGGAGGAGCTCAGGCAGTAATGTCCTGGGTGATGTGTAGCTACGTACCTAACAGACTGTGGCCAGTCTGGGGGTTGGGGAACACAATTAGTAGGTAAATTAACATTTGCTTTACATACTTTATTTTTGTTAGTTTACAGCAATGATGTAAAGAAGTTAATATTTACATTTTGTAAATGAGGTATTAGATTACTTAGCAGAGGCTAATAATGCCTTTTCCTTGGGTGTTTAGCTCAAGAATGGTAGTGCTGGGATTGTCTGACTTGAAGCCCTGCTCTCTGAACTCTCCCAAGGTGCCACCTGGTGCACACCCCTTTGAGTTGGATGTTCACCTGATGGTTCATTTTTCTTGCTTCTGTGTATCTTGTTCCTGGATGGATAGTCTTGCTTTATTTAGTTGCATCTTGAGAACTCCGTAGTTGATTCCTTGATTGTTCCAGTCCCAGCCTTCTCTTTTCCGTCTTCTTTCTCATCCCTCTTCATGAGAAAGCATTATAATCACTGATTAGACAGCATGAACAGAAGACTCAGGCAGATCTGGGTTTAAGTTCCTTTGCATGACCAGCTAGCTGGGTGAACTTGGGTAAGTTGCTTAATTTCTTTAAACCTTAGGTTTGTATTTGGTTAAATAGGGATAGTAATAGTATCTTTCTGGTAAATAAGTGTGTTAAATTAAATGATGCATATAAAGAAAAAGTTTGGCTCGATAACTGTGGAATTAATACTCATTAAATAATAGCTGTACTTTTCCATATAGCAGCTTGCTTTCCAAGGCATATTAATGTAGGCCAAGATATCTCTTGGAAATTATCATATGAACATGACTTTTGTCTTCCGTCAGTGCAAGCACAGAAAGCTCTTCTCAGGATGCTGAAAGCAGCTTTTCTTCTGAAGATTCTCTACACATGTCTACGCCATGTGCATCTTCCCTGTCTTCCATGGAAAAAATGCCTGCACACCCAGCTCCTCGAAAAGTCACTGACGAGGAGATAAGCTTTGTTAAGACCTGTCTTCAGAGGTGGAGGAGTGAGATTGAACAAGATATACAAGGTTGGCTCTTTTAAAACTTATCAGATAGTTACTCTTTACCTTTTCTGTTTGTTTGAATATTTGGGACTCAGGCACCTTTTGTATACTTCTTGCCATTGCCGTACACGCTGTTTAATTTGGAGTAGTCATTGTGACTTCTTTTGTACTTTTGGTTTTTTTGTTTGTTTGTTTGTTTTTTTTGAGACAGGGTCTTGCTCTGTTGCCTGGGCTGGAGTACAGTGGCGTCATCATAGCTCACAGCAACCTCAAACTCCTGGGCTCAAGCAATCCTCCTGCGTTAGCTTCCCTGGTAGCTGGGACTATAGGCATACACCACCACACTTAGCTAATTTTTCTATTTTTTTGTAGAGACGGGGTCTCATTCTTGCTCAGGCTGGTCTCAAACTCCTGGCCTCCAGCAGTTCTCTCACCTCGGCCTCCCAAAGTGCTGGGATTACAAGCATGAGTGATTGTGCCCAGCCTTTTTTGCACTTTTAGTGCCCTGTAAGCTTAGTTCATACTCCCATTATGCAGCTGTAGAAGATCCCTCCTAGATTTCCTCCTCAGAATTTCTGGGAATTCCTAGAAGATTTATGATCACCTTTGTTGGGATTTTTCTGTGTGTGCTAATTTCATTTCTATAGTAGTTTATCTGAACTTTGGCTTCAGTTGACCCAGACTTAGAATTTGGCTCTCCTGGATTTCTACCTGTCTTTTCTGTATGAAGCATACTTTAGTTGGAAGAGGTGGAGAATATTTGGGCAATGCAATGTAAAATTCAGTTATTCAGCATTCTATTCTTAAAAGTTCTTTGGCTTCATTGCCATATTGCTCAGACTGTCCTTTCCCCTTCCCTTCCACTTTTATCTAGGGAGCAAAAAGACAAATAAAATTCCAAGTTCTCTCAAGTTTTTATTCAGAGAAATTTAGCCCTATTCTTTATTATGTCTCCTCATTTCACATCTTTTCTCTGGGACATATATTTTATACCCAAGTGACCCATTAAGCTCTCTTCCTAAATAGAGACAGTTTTTCCTCTTTAATAAATTTTAGTGTCAATTATAAAAGACAATTTTTTAAAACCTTAATGTAATTATGTTGAACTAAAAGCCTTCATAACATAAAGCACTAGCTCTACTTCGTGGTTCATAAAGGTAAGTTAAAACCATTAGAACCCTGGCCATAGATAAGCAATACTCTTTGCTTAGTTGAAGCAGCCTCTGTGATATGCAATGAGATCATTGTAAAGAAATGTTGTCTTTTTTTTTAACAGATTTAAAGAATTGTATTGCAAGCACTACCCAGACTATTGAGCAGATGTACTGTGACCCTCTCCTTCGTCAGGTAGAATGAAAATTGATGGGAAAATAGTCAAAGCGTGCTACTGGTAGATACAAAAAGAAAATAGTAATACAAATTACTCATAATTCTCAGAGCGGAGGGGATATAAAAAGAAAAATGAATTACTTGCAAATGATAATTTAAATAGTACAGTGGGGAAAACTGAACTAGGGTCCAGTTATCTGTCCTTTCACTAAATACCATTATTCTTCGAGATCTTTCCTTTGACAGCCTGCTTTCAAGCATTCTTTCTTTAATAACTTCTAACTACAAAAGGGAGTTAGGGGAGAAATTCTTAACCATCCACGTAAGTTTTAACATTTAACATAGAGTAACATTCTGAGCATTAAGGGGAAAAGAGCCTCAATTCAGGGGCCTTGCAGTGGCTTCTGTGTGAATGAACAGAATGGGCAGAGTGGCTGTAGAGGCACTGTTTGAAGCGAGGCATTGAGGCACAATTCTCTTGCATAATAGAAACACACCATGTAAATCTTGGGTTTCTCCATTTTCTTTTGTGTTATTTGAAAAATCTTTACCAGCAGTAAAAACAGGTCAAGGTACTAATAATAAGTATAAGTTTAATTTGATTCTGTGACTGGCTTTCATGACTTTCACTTACTTAGCACTTAAGATTGCTCTATTTTCACTTACTTAGCACTTAAGATGGAAAAAAGTATGCTTTTCAAATGTTGAAACAAACGCATATGTAATAAAAAGGGTCTTCACTCCAGATAGGTGGATGAGGACTCACAAGAAGAAATACAAGGAGCATGTGACTGCATGAAATATGCTAACTTAAATTTTGGTGCCAGAGAAAACAGGTATAGAACAAGATAGCTGTTTACCTTGCTCTCAGGTCCCAAATATGGTGAACATTTTTTTCAGTGTGAGTGGTCAAGTGATTCTGTTTTTAGGTGAACTGATTTTTGAGTTGGAAGGATACAGGTTTAGGTTATCTTTGGTTTTAGATCTATAATCATGGGAGTTTAGAGTCGAAAGAGTCTTCAGAGAGGTCATCAAGTTCAACTGTCTGGTCTTAATGATTTGGGAACTGAGACAGCACTGATAGATTCCAAGGCTGTGTTTTGTTAGTTCATCTTGAATTAATAGGATGTTTTGATACGAACCCCATGTTAAACACATATATAAATAGTCATTTTGTAATAACCTAAACTTTATCAGATTACCTTACTTAACCTGACTGAGGATGTTACTCTCTGATTTGCAGGTGCCTTATCGCTTGCATGCAGTTCTTGTTCATGAAGGACAAGCAAATGCTGGACACTACTGGGCCTATATCTATAATCAACCCCGGCAAATCTGGCTCAAGTACAATGACATCTCTGTTACTGAATCTTCCTGGGAAGAACTTGAAAGAGATTCCTATGGGGGTCTGAGAAATGTTAGTGCCTACTGTCTGATGTATATTAATGATAAACTCCCCCACTTCAATGCAGGTAAAAATATCTTTGCAGAACCCAGAAATTGGGGAAAATTTGTTCTGCCCAGGGAAGGAAAACAGTATTGTACTTCTTTTAAAGAAATACAAGCTATACTATTATTACGTGATAATGCATATATAAAATATAAACAGTATAAAAGGGATTAAAAAGGAAAAACAAGTTTGCTTTCCTACTTGTATCCTTGACCACTGGTCCTGCTCCTCAACAAGTATATACTGTTAGGTTTCTTATGTAGTCTTCAAGAAATGTTCTATGCGTATGTATGCTAGATTTTTATTTATCTGTATCTCTCCCTTCTTTTTTCCCCCAAATGGGATGTTTTTCCATTCAATTCTATACCTTTTTAATTGAGTATTTAGAGATGTTTATAAATAAAACCTACTCATTCTTTTTAATAACTGCATAATAGTTCATTACATGGGATATATATGTATTATATTTTTTTATATATATATAATTTAAGCCTCCCATTGATAGATTTTTTTTTTAAAGAGATAAGCCCTCACTCTGTGACCCAGGCCAGAGTGTAGTGGTGCCATCATAGCTCACTGCAACCTGGAATTCCTGGGCTCAACCGAGCCTCCTGCCTTCCCAGTACCTGAGGCCACAGGCATGTGGTACTACACCTGGCTAATTTTGACAGTTTTTGTAGAGATTGGGGTCTCACTGTGTTGTCTGGAGTGGACTTGAACTCTAGGACTCAAGCAGTCCTCTTGCCTCAGCCTCCCAAAATTCTGGGATTACAGGTGTGAGCCATTAGCTCAACCTTGATAGATTTATAATTGTCTCTAGTTTTTTCCTGTTTTGGTAACATCATTGTATACACATTTTTGTGCCTGGCTGGAGAATAGCTAAATTTTAAAAGTATATATGCCTGAACAGTTTCATACTTCTCATACTACTACTACTAATGCTAAGAGCAATAATGGTTATCATTTATATTGGTACTTTACTCCTTCATGCATGGTTTCAAACTTTATTTTTATTTTTTTTTTGGAACAGAGTCTCACTTTATTGCCCAGGCTAGAGTGAGTGCCGTGGCGTCAGTCTAGCTCACAGCAACCTCAAACTCCTGGCTCAAGCAATCCTCCTGCCTCAGCCTCCCAAGTAGCTGGGACTACAGGCATTCGCCACATGGCCTGGCTAATTTTTTATATATATATTAGTTGGCCAATTAATTTCTTCTATTTATAGTAGAGACGGGGTCTCGCTCTTGCTCAGGCTGGTTTCGAACTCCTGACTCGAGCATCCGGCCCGCCTCGGCCTCCCAGAGAGCTAGGATTACAGGCGTGAGCCACCGCGCCCGGCCTTGGTTTCAAACTTTATTTCTCTAATAACTCTAAAAGTGAGGTAACTGGGTAGAAATTACTATCTTCATTTCCTAGCTGCATAACAGGCTCCAAGAGGTTCCATAGCTATGCAGTCAGTATAAAAATGGCAGGCTCAAGATTTGAATCTAGTTCTGACTCCAAATTCTGTGCTGTTTTTAATTTATATTATTCTGTCTTCCTTTTGCATCTTCTGTGAGAGGTCTTATGGCCAGCATTTTTACATGTCAGTTAATAGAAGGCTTTTGCATTTAGTATTCAAACTTTACTGCATTGCACAAGTAAGAAAACATTAAGGCATTTTGTCCAGGCAGCAAATTATCTTTCTGACATGCTAATGTGATCTGGGGATAGGGAATGGAGAGAATGATCACTTCACAGTCACTGATCTTCAAAATTATATATTTATGGTATGCAGGCATGAATAGCTGCATGTGGGAGTTACAGTACAAATGATTGTACTAGCCGTTGGTAGTATTTGGGAACCCTGTTAAATGCATGCATGGTTCATTTTATATTATAGAAACAAGCAAGTGGAAACTCATTTGCTTAGTGAAAAGGCTAGTTAATGGCAATCAGTATTTGAATATGTTGTTCTGCTATAGATTTTTTTATTGTTTTGGTCAGAAGATTAGAAATGATATTTAATATGTCCTTGATATCCTTGCCATTAAAGCCAGTTATTATGTTATTGACCATTTAACCCTTGTATCAAATTGCTTTCTGATAGCACTTAATTGTGTGAAACTTGAGACAGTATAAATGTATTGAAATTCATCTCTAACCTTCTTGAAATGACCATTCTTATCAATAATAGGTGCAGCAGTTAAATTGATAAAACCAGTTTGAAAATTTCCATTGGATCTAATAATTTTCTATATTTCTGAGAAATGTTTGGTATATCTGGTGCTTGACAGTGACTGACTACTATTCCAAATGCTTAACTCTGTATCATTCATTCATTTGTTCATTTAACAGATGTTTAATGAGTATATACCTAATAAGTCAGGCGCTCTTACTGATGTGCTGTCGCTGTTGGCCTTATATTGTCAGTACAGGTTGAACATCGCAAATCTCAAAATCCAAAATGTTTAAAATCCAAAACTTTGTATGTGTCAACATCATGCTCAAAGGGAATGCTCATTGGAGTATTTCAGGTTTTGGATTTTGGAATTTTGAATTTGGGATGCTCAGCTGATAAGTATGATATTCCAAAGTCTGAAAATATTTGAAGTCCAAAACACTTCTGGTTCCAAGCTTTTTGGATAAGGGATATTCAAATGGATTTGTGGTGGATTATGTGTGTATATATTTTTAGTTAAGAATAGGAAAACAGATGAAATGTCCTGCTTTCTTGCTTTCCAGAGAGGATATTTTGGTTCCTAGCGACCTTTTGCTGGATGGTACTCCATATAATTCTGTCTTTCCTAGAGGCAGCCCCTAACGAATCAGATCAAATGTCAGAAGTGGAATCCCTGTCAGTGGAACTGAAGCATTACATTCAGGAAGATAACTGGCGGTTTGAGCAGGAAGTAGAGGAGTGGGAAGAAGAGCAGTCTTGTAAAATTCCTCAAATGGAATCTTCTACCAACTCTTCCTCACAGGATTTCTCTACATCACAAGGTATGTGAGAAGGGCATTTATGCCAGCAATCTAGTAACATTCATGCTGCAGTCCCCCAGCCAGCCCTGTACACTTCAACTGACAAAGTGATGCCGGTCTTCATGATGTATGTATGTGCCTATATATATACCCACAGATACACACACACATACTTCCTGTGTCTTCATATTTTTTTTTTTTTTTTTTTGAGACACGAGTCTCACTTTGTTGCCCAGGCTAGAGTGAGTGCCCTGGTATCAGCCTAGCTCACAGCAACCTCAAACTCCTGGGCTCAAGCAATCCTCCTGCCTCAGCCTCCCAAGTAGCTGGGACTACAGGCATGCGCCACCATGCCCGGCTAATTTTTTCTATATATATTAGTTGGCCAATTAATTTCTTTCTATTTATAGTAGAGACGGGGTCTCGCTCTTGCTCAGGCTGGCTTCGAACTCCTGACCTCGAGCAATCCGCCTACCTCGGCCTCCCAGAGTGCTAGGATTACAGGCGTGAGCCACCGCGCCCGTCCTTCCTGTGTCTTCATATATAGTTGGTATGGCAGGCACAACCTGAAAGAATAGATTATGGCTTTAGAATGTGATTTCTGATGAGAAATAACAATTAGAAAGACTAGCTATGTGTACATTCAATGTGTATATAGTTCTACTTATTTACCAGGCTGTAGGAGGAACTACGGTAGGATTAATAGACTTTGTGAAAACTGTTCTCCAAAGGTGATCTTCCTAACAACAGATGATTATTTATAGGAAGCCTTCTTAGCATAAAGAAATCTGACAAAGTTGGGGGTACATTAAATTTGGTAGAATTACCAATGGATTTTTTTTCTGAAGTAGCTACCATTTCTTGTAGTCACTGGTTTCTAAGAGAAATTTGCATAGGCTTTTTAAAAAGCTGTGTTAGAAGCATTGTGTATCCGTCCAGCTTGCTTTTGTCAGTGTTCTAGACTGTTTATCATCAGATGCTAATACCTTTGTACCATTCTTCACCAGAATCTTCAATAGCCCCCTCTCCCGGGGTTCGATGCCTGTCGTCTGAGCATGCTGTGATTGTAAAGGAGCAGACTGCCCAGGCCATTGCAAACACGGCCCGTGCCTATGAGAAGAGTGGTGTGGAAGCAGCACTGAGTGAGGTGAGAATGACCGAGAAACTCAAATTCAGGAGGGCCGGGCTTTCAGCCAGTCATTGCCATTTTTCTCACATTTCTATTATTCTGTGTCTCTCCTGCATTTAACCAACCCCTCTTTATTTCTCCTGTTTTTCCTTACTCTTCTCCCCATTCTGCTACCACAGCTTAAGGAAGCTGAACCCAAGAAGCCCATGCCCCAGGAAACAAACCTTGCAGAGCAGTCAGAACAGCCCCCAAAGGCTAATGATGCAGAGTCTACTACCCAGCCTAATTCTGAGGTCTCTGAAGTCGAGATTCCCAGTGTGGGAAGGATTCTGGTTAGATCTGATGCAGATGGATATGATGAGGAGGTACAGAGATGAGTGCAGGATTTAGCTGTTTGTTGTCAGTCTTATATTTCCTTCTGAAGTGACTGGATTAATACATTTTTTTAAATGTGCCTGGAAATAGCTAATCTTTTCTTATTGAAACAGATAATTGATAATGAGGTCTATCTGGTTTTGACCTTAGTTACCATTCTTAAAAGGTATTTATGTTCCTACTGTACACTGCTCTAAGCTTGTACTTGTGGGGGCCACTACAGAGTCTAGATGACTCAGAGTGGTAGCATTTAGTTCCTTTTTTGGATATTTATGACCAAAAAATTGCCTTCTAATTTTAAGTAGAGAATCTTTGTTTTTGATATTAGTCCACCGTTTTTTCTCCAAATATAAATTTTTCAGTTGTCCAGTGAGCAAAACAAATGTGGATTAATATTGTGGATTTTAGTTCTAAAGCTTTATGAAGAAGCTGCTGTAGAATCCCAAATTATTCATTGTCTGCTTCATTTTCAGTTGCACTGCATGTAAATAGTAATGAATCCTGTCTCTCAGACTTTTCTTTCCTGTGGGGTATTTTTTTTTTTTAAATCATGGAAAGGTTTTCATTTTATAGAGTCATACTTATATAGCCCGTAGTTTCCAGACTATTTTAAATGTACTGTTCATCCTAGTAGCAATTCTAAAATATTTGTCTAAAATCTCAGACACTTGTCCTCTGAGAGCTGCCATTTAACTTCATCCTTCAGCAGTGCCCTTTTGGAGATAATTTTGGACATGGATCTTTCTTCATCCTGCTAAAATCGAGAGAACGTATAGTATAGGAATAGCTTGTCTTGGGTGAGACCTGGCCATTATGTGGAGGGACAGAGGCCATGCATGCACTTAGGAATGGGTGTGTGAGGCTTGACTTTCATTGGATGCTGGCCCCAGGGCACACTGCTGTGCTTCCCTGCAGCCCTCTGTTCAGCTTGGTTTCATACAGTCTTCTTTTGAACCTTCTTCTCTCTTCTTTCTCTCTGTTTTGTGTCCTCTTGTGGTAGGTGATGCTGAGCCCTGCCATGCAAGGGGTCATCCTGGCCATAGCTAAAGCCCGTCAGACCTTTGACCGAGATGGGTCTGAAGCAGGGCTTATTAAGGTATCTCTGTTTTTAAAATTCTAATCCTTGTAACACACGTATCATAATATTGGGGCAATAATTCTATAAGATGGGGGAAAATGGGATTAAAGCTAAGCTCTGTGGCATACACACGTAGTCCCAGCCCCTCAGGAGGCTGAGGCAGGAAGATGACTTGAGACCAGGAGTTCAAGGCTGCAGTGCTCTATAATCACACCTGTGAGTAGCCACTGCACTCCTGCTTGGGTGACAGAGCAAGACCCCATCTCTTTATTTAAAAAAAAAATAAAAATAAAAAATGAATCTTCTCCTGAAATGAAACATAAAACTCCCTTTCCTATTCAACTGGTGAACAAGCTGTTCCGTAGTACTGTTCACTCTTCTTTTGGCACTCACCCAGCCTTGGTTGGCAGTGCCGTACACCTAGCCTAGAGGGATTTTTGTTGTTGTTTGGAGGCATCTATTAACACTGTGAGTGGATTGTGCCTTTGTCGTTTTGAGGCCATGATATAAACAAATAGGCCATGCTTTTGAAGTATTTCAATACAATTTAAGATACTTGAATAAAATTGCATTTGTATGGATGTTTAAAATCCAAGTCAATGGGACTCAAGAATATGCCTTTTACAACAATTAAAACTAAGTATTTAAGCAGTTACTGGGGAGGCTGAGATGAGAGGATCACTTGAGCCTAGGAGTTGGAACATAGCCAGACTTCATCTCTTAAAAACAAAACTAAACAAAAAATATTTGTTTTTCTGGAAATTTCTTGAGAAAAATGAGTTTCTTATGAGTACAATATATTTTTGGTGCCAGAATGCTAGAGGATTTTTATCCCTTATGAAATGCAGACAACTTAAAGATTGATTCCTTTAAGCTGGCCTTTGTAGTTCCTCCAATAAGAATTCTTTAGAAGTCGTCTTGGAGAGTTATGAGACCATCTAGCTCTTAGGCATCCATTTCTGCGTGCAGAAGCCCACAATGCACTCTTTTCTAACTGTTGATTCTGCCTTCAATAGGCATTCCACGAAGAATACTCCAGGCTCTATCAGCTTGCCAAAGAGACTCCCACCTCTCACAGCGACCCTCGACTTCAGCATGTCCTTGTCTACTTTTTCCAAAATGAAGCACCTAAAAGGGTAGTAGAACGGACCCTTCTGGAACAGTTTGCAGATAAAAATCTTAGCTATGATGAAAGGTGAGAGGGGAATACTCAGGTGACTCACCCTGGGTCTGGCTAGACTAAGTCGTCTGATGGGGAATTTTGCCTGTACCCTTCCATTGCTTTCTGACCTTTGTCCCACACAGATCAATCAGCATTATGAAGGTGGCTCAAGCTAAACTGAAGGAAATTGGTCCAGATGACATGAATATGGAAGAGTACAAGGTGAAGTCTTTCTTGAAATCTACAAAGCAAAAACTAATTTCTTAGGCAAATGGTACCTGAGGCCAAATTAACAATTTTGTGCTATCACAGACTGACTTGTTCTCCCACCTCTCCCTGCCCCCCCCCAAAAAAAATCTGGGAAAGAATGGATAAATGATCTTTCTGACTCTCAGAATAGCAGGCCTCTTTATTTTCATTCTTCTGTTGAATGCATCAACATTTCATTTCCCTTAAATACCTACTTTAGCTTTGTCCTAGGCCATATAATTCTTGAAATCATGGTTTGATTTGTTTTAAATGATAGTTGTTAAAATATGCATTAAAATATATACATAATTACAAATTTTTTTTTAAAAAAATAGATTTTATGTAAAACAATGTTATGTGCCACGTAAGGTGTACCCACCACATTTACTGGGCATGACTTGGAAGAGCTTTATCCTTCCATCTTTCCCATTGATGGTTTCATCAGTACTTGAGAGGTCATTCATTTAAACCAGAGCTGAATGACTTTGACATGGCTATTGGAAATTAAGATAATAAATTCTAAAGCTCATGTTAAATAAATATTTCTGTTCCTCAGTGAAAGGAATAGAACATTGAAATTAAGGTCAGTGGTAGACTTTTATTTTAAATGTTGAATGTGTTTTTTTCCTGAAAGCTTTTATGTTTGTTTTTGTGGCTGGCCAGATGTGCTCAGTAAATATTTGTATTGAATTTAAAACTTGGGTGGAAAGTGCAGCACTAGTTTATTATGAGCATAGTCATTAATGATAGTCATTCCTTTTCAGAAGTGGCATGAAGATTATAGTTTGTTCCGAAAGGTGTCTGTGTATCTCCTAACAGGCCTGGAGCTCTATCAGAAAGGAAAGTATGTTGGCCTTATTTGTTTCACCAAGATTATGGGTGAGGACACTTACTTATTGATGCCCATCTAGGAACACCAAGAGTCATAGCTGTAACCTACGTGTCACATACGCTAGTGTGCCTCTTCTCTTTCTAGTGTTTTAGTTTTGCTCTCAATGTCACACATCATTTTTCATCCTTCACATAATGAGATTTATCAGTAGACAGAGATGCTGTGCCAGACTTTCTCTGTGATAAATGAAGATGAACTCAGAAAGCGAATTTTCGAGTTGGCTTGGACCCTAGTGAGCATCTAGTTCACTTTTTGTTTAGAGATGGGGAAAACTGACCCTAGTGAGCATCTTGTTCACTTTTTGTTTAGAGATGGGAAAAACTGAGGCCCAGGGAAGTTTCCTGATTTGCCTTAGGTGGCTTGGCCATTTCATCGAAGATTGGCATTGGTCTCTGACCCTTAGGTTTTTCTCCTTGCCAACTCTTATCTTTAAGACTTTTACATAATTGCAGCCAAATAGATTCTTATGTTGGGGAAAAGTGAGGTCTAAGCCGTAGGTTTTGGGTAAAGGGCACTCAGCTGTTGTTTATGTCCCCTTTTCTAAGGTACCAAGAGGCACTTTCCTACCTGGTGTATGCCTACCAGAGCAATGCGGCTCTGCTGATGAAGGGGCCCCGCCGGGGCGTCAAGGAATCCGTGATTGCTTTATACCGAAGAAAATGCCTTCTGGTTTGTACTGTTTGTAAGGCCTTAAGATTTGTGTGTTGTGTGTGTGTGCTTACCTCTCTTCCTTGAAACCATGAAGAAATACAACTTTAAAAACAAAATAATTACTTCCAACAGGTTTTAGATTTTTTTCCCCCAAACTCTCATAATCAGTTTTACATTGGAACAGATTCTTTTCGGTTACTTTAGATGAATATCATTCTTCTTCACTCCCTGATAGAAGTCAAGATGAGAATCATTCATCCCCCTCTATGTGCCCTTCATGTATGCCTACATTATAGCTCTTATCACATTGCTTCCCTGCTGGATTGTGAGTTCCTGGAGCACACATCCTTATTCAGCCATTTCCTTTGCCTGGCCCATAGTAAGCATGTAATAAATGTACATTGAATAAATGTAGTATTTTTCTGTGCTCCCTGCTAAGCTAGCAGGTGTAAGTTTAGGTGACTTCTGAGAGACTCCAGTTTTTTAAAAAAGATACGAACCGTAAGCATCGTTCCTGGTGTTCTGATAACATCATTGTCATGTACCAGTGAAGACTAAATCTACCCTGGCCTAATTTGCATTTAGCAGCCACATGGAGAGGCAGATCTGTATCCCCTTTCGTACCCAAGGGTTTATATGGTGTTTGTCCTTCAGACAATTGTAAAGAAGTGGCTTGCCTTCACATGGTGTGCTGTGTTTGTTTTCACTGATACCCAGCACATTTGCCCTTCACAGAAGTCAGGCCAGCATTTCTACCAGCACCTTGGCCTTGCTCATACCCAGTGGATGAGATTAAATCATGACATATTAATGTATTCATCTCAAGAGCTTCATTTTCTGATTTATGCTTTGATTTCTGTATTAGTTATAGGTGTGGCAGGGCCACTTTGAAGCTGGGAAAGGGGCCATGTAGATTTGATGGATCTGAATTTTATTAGAGCCATGCTTTTATATTTTAAATCACTGAATAGATTGACATTTTGAATATCCTTCTCAGCGTCTACAGTAATGCAGTAATAGGGCTTTAGACTCTTTCTATGAGGGGTCCCACCCCCAATGTGCATCGGAATCACCTAGAGAGCTTTCACACAGTAGTGATGTTCAAGCCCCTCCCTAGACTGTTAGGCCAGAATCCCTGCGAGGGACCTGGGCATCGGCGTGTCTTGCACAGGTGATTCTGATGCTCAAGGGAGATTGAGAACCACTGAATAGGTCTTAAATAGAAACAGGCATTAAGCATGACCTTGACTTGTAAGCTTAGGCCAGTGGGTCCCAAACTTTGCTGCATTAGAATCACTTTGGGAGCTTTTGTAAAATCCCATTGCCCAGGTTGCCTGCATACTGATTGAACCAGCATGTCAGGAGTGGGAGGTAGGCATCGGTAGTTTTCAAAGATCCCCAGCTGCTTTCAATGTGCAGTAAAGTTTGGGAACCACTTGTTTAGACTGTTATTAAATAGATATTTATCTTTTTCAGACTTTTCTCCTCCCCCCACTCTGCCTTTTATCTGTAGGAGCTGAATGCCAAAGCAGCTTCTCTCTTTGAGACAAATGATGATCATTCTGTAACAGAAGGCATTAATGTGATGAATGAGCTGATCATCCCCTGCATTCACCTTATCATTAATAATGACATTTCCAAGGATGACCTGGATGCCATCGAGGTCATGAGAAACCACTGGTGCTCTTACCTTGGGCAAGATATTGCAGGTATGCTGTTAGCACTTCTAGTAATATGCTAAGGTTTTGAGAATTTTAGAAATTACAGTGGTCTCTCTATAGCACTAGTTGCCAAACCTTTTTAAGGTATTAGAACCTCTCCGTACAAGAGAGTTAAAAGTGGATCTCCTCCACCGAAACGGAGAGAGCCTGTACCTCTGCCCCTCGTTACATCCCCTGGTAACCTCCCCTATAGTTGCTGAAGCACCTCCATGAGCAACCAACAAGCCCAGTTTGGAAAAAATCACTCTTCTCCAAGAATGTCAGATTCTGTTACTCTGTCATCTGCCAAAATCTGAATTCTTTTATATTATTAATAAAAATCTAAATCTAGCCCAGGCACAGTGGCTCATGCCTGTAATCCTAGCACTCTGGGAGGCTGAGGTGGGAGGATTGCTCAAGGTCAGAAGTTTTTTTTTTTTTTTTTGAGACAGAGTCTCACTTTGTTGCCCAGGCTAGAGTGAGTGCCGTGGCATCAGCCTAGCTCACAGAAACCTCAAACTCCTGGGCTTAAGCGATCCTCCTGCCTGAGCCTCCCGAGTAGCTTGGACTACAGGCATGCGCCACTATGCCTGGCTAATTTTTTGTATACATATTTTTAGTTGGTCAATTAATTTCTTTCTAATTTTAGTAGAGACGGGGTCTTGCTCAGGCTGGTTTCAAACTCCTGACCTCGAGCAATCTGTCCGCCTCAGCCTCCTAGAGAGCTAGGATTACAGGCGTGAGCCACCACGCCCGGCCAAGGTCAGAAGTTTGAGACCAGCCTGAGCAAGAGCGAGACTACGTCTCTATTAAAAATAGAAAGAAATTAGCTGGATAACTAAAAATATATAGAAAAAATTAGCCAGGCATGGTGGTGCATGCTTGTAGTCCCAGCTACTCAGGAGGCTGAGGCAGGAGGATTGCTTGAGCCCAGGAGTTTGAGGTTGCTGTGAGCTAGGCAGATGTCACGGTACTCTAGCTTGGGCAACAGAGTGAGACTGTGTCTCAGAAAAAAGTCTAAATCAATTTCTGCAGAGTATGATTACCTAGTGGTGCCTTAACTAAATATTTTTTGTGGCTTAAAGTTGTCAAACATAAAAATATTAACTATGATGACTTTAAGATTAATAAATTAATACATGGAATATCCTTGTTTGTCTAAAGTATCTTGGGGAGGGAACCTAAAACTAGTTATTTTTAGGTGAGTTCAGTAGACTTAAAAAGTTGATGTATATTCTGATATGAATCCTCTTTGTTAGTTTCTCATTGATGTAAAGGTATTTCATTGACTTGCTGAAGTATCCAAGTTTATAGTATTTATTGAAAAATGCTATAATAGTTAGTTGCTACATATTCTATTTTAATATCTTCAGTTTTTATTTAGATGATGTGTGTGTAATACGTGTGCGTGTGTATATATATGTATATATATACACACACACAAACACACACACATATATATATATATATATTTTTTTTTTTTTTGAGACAGAGTCTCACTTTGTTGCCCGGGCTAGAGTGCCATGGTGTCAGCCTAGCTCACAGCAACCTCAAACTCCTGGGCTCAAGTAATCCTTCTGCCTCAGCCTCTCGAGTAGCTGGGACTACAGGTGCATGGCACCACGTCCAGCTAATTTTTTCAATTTTTAGTGGAGACAAAGTCTAGCTCTTGCTTAGGCTGGTCTCAAACTCCTGAGCTAAAGCAATCTTTCCGCCTCAGCCTCCCAGAGTGTTAGGATTACAGGCATGAGCCACATGTATATTTTAATAATTTGAAAGAAAATAGCTCTTTTATACCTTTAGTACAGGGTATTAAGTCCACTTTCTCAAATTTTAAAAGGATGATTGATTGGAAAACCTGTTCATAATGCAGTGAAAAGATAGTGTTATTCCGCCAACATCATATGATTTAAAACGTTCTAAAGCTTTTTTGGCAAGTAGGTCTTTGGTCCTGGTTTGGCCTAAAAGAATCACCATTTATTGTTAGCTGGCCAGCATAATGCTTTGACTTTTGAGGTTAGGTAAGGAGTTATTTAAAGGCCTTCCTGTATAGTTGCAGGCTTATTAGTTTTTACTTAGAGATCTGTTTACCTGAGTATGTAACCATCCATTTTCCCTCCATAGAAAATCTGCAGCTGTGCTTAGGGGAGTTTCTACCGAGGCTTCTAGATCCTTCTGCAGAAATCATTGTCTTGAAGGAGCCTCCAACTATTCGACCCAATTCTCCGTATGACCTTTGTAGCCGATTTGCAGCTGTCATGGAGTCAATTCAAGGAGTTTCAACTGTGACAGTGAAATAAGCCCCCACATGTTCAGGCTCATCCTGGGATCTGGCCTGTTGCACAGAAGTCTGTTGTCATGGTACTCACCTTGGGAAAGGATTAGATGGACAAGTACGACTCAGATTCCAACCCCAGCCATGCTGCATATGTAAAGAAGGATTGAAAAATAAAATTGCACTTTTTAGGTACAGAATCATAAAAGCTATTTCACTAGAAAAGGCAGGAACCAGTGTATGGAGGTACTCAATTACGCCAGAAGACCTGAAATGCCTTTGTACCTACAGTAAGGCTAGGGCTTTTCTAAGCCTCTTGCCACTTTTTAAATTATCCTTCAGGCATAAATAGTTTTGACAGCAGAATAGAAGAGTGATTCATCAGAACCTGAACCAGGTGAATAGCTACTAGTTACTTTATTAAATACAGGTGACATTTAAAAATTCTTAACTGCAAGAGATTAGGAATATAAACTCTGCCTAGCTCTTGACAGGAGATGACAAAATGGGTTGCTGATGAACCTCGCCCTTTTACATGTGGGTAGAATATAAGATCACATGGCAATAAGATGCTGAAAAGTCAAGAGAATTGCCTCTCCTTTCTTCTCTCCTTTGTATTTTTAAAGAAACCAGAAAACCTCATAGTCAGCCCTGAGTGAAAGAAAGGAAAGCAGTTGAGGACTTCAGACAGAATAGCATTGTGAAACTTGACTAAAGATAGTGTGTTAATAATTGTTAGCCATGTAGGTAAAATTTTCTAATATCCCCAAATTGTCAAAAACAGGTTTCTAAGGCTACTGCTGGCCCAAAAGACGATTTTAATCCCCCACCCGTTTTTTGCTCTTAAAAAATATGGGATGTGGATTTGTAAAAAGAAAAAAACTATATGTATATGTAGAGAGAAAGATATTCCCTGTTGACCATTTTTAAAAGGCTCTCAATTGGATATTGTATTTTAAACAGATTTTAAGATTAATGGTGGAATTGTGGGAGGGAAGGACACTTGATACTTGATACAACTATGCAGATTTTATAAATGTGCAATAAAAATATTTGTTTTACCTTTGGTATACAGTGTGGACTTTGTTTAAATATATATTTTTCATTTTGGAAATGGGTGGACTCAGGAAGCATTTTGTCTTGTTTCAATTTTTGTTCTTTAAAAGAAAAAAGCAGATGAAAGCATTGAGAAACTTGATGGGATGGGGGTACCAGTGTTTGAAATAGCAGGCAACAGTCAACTCTTGAGCAGCACCTAGTGGTGACTGATACCTTTTCATCTCATTTGCTATATGCATTGCAGGTAAGTGTGTCAACTTTTTAATTTTCAAATTTTGGAATGTGAAAAAAGTGATTTTTTAAAAACTCAATTTCTTGTACAGTTTTTCCATGGTATTTGTGGAGGATGGGTTCCAGGACCCCCATGCATACCAAAATCTGTGCATGCTCAGGTCCCAAAGTTGGCTCTGCAGCACCCACACATAGGAAAAGTCAACTCTCCCTATGCTCAGGTTTCACATCCTGCAAATATCGTGAGCAATCCGCCTGCCTCGGCCTCCCAGAGAGCTAGGATTACAGGCGTGAGCCACCACGCCCGGCCAAGGTCAGAAGTTTGAGACCAGCCTGGGCAAGAGCGAGACTACGTCTCTATTAAAAATAGAAAGAAATTAGCTGGATAACTAAAAATATATAGAAAAAATTAGCCAGGCATGGTGGTGCATGCTTGTAGTCCCAGCTACTCAGGAGGCTGAGGCAGGAGGATTGCTTGAGCCCAGGAGTTTGAGGTTGCTGTGAGCTAGGCAGATGTCATGGTACTCTAGCTTGGGCAACAGAGTGAGACTGTGTCTCAGAAAAAAAGTCTAAATCTATTTCTGCAGAGTATGATTACCTAGTGGTGCCTTAACTAAATATTTTTTGTGGCTTAAAGTTGTCAAACATAAAAATATTAACTATGATGACTTTAAGATTAATAAATTAATACATGGAATATCCTTGTTTGTCTAAAGTATCTTGGGGAGGGAACCTAAAACTAGTTATTTTTAGGTGAGTTCAGTAGACTTAAAAAGTTGATGTATATTCTGATATGAATCCTCTTTGTTAGTTTCTCATTGATGTAAAGGTATTTCATTGACTTGCTGAAGTATCCAAGTTTATAGTATTTATTGAAAAATGCTATAATAGTTGCTACATATTCTATTTTAATATCTTCAGTTTTTATTTAGATGATGTGTGTGTAATACGTGTGCGTGTGTATATATATGTATATATATACACACACACATATATATACATATATATATATTTTTTTTTTTTTTTTGAGACAGAGTCTCACTTTGTTGCCCGGGCTAGAGTGCCATGGTGTCAGCCTAGCTCACAGCAACCTCAAACTCCTGGGCTCAAGTAATCCTTCTGCCTCAGCCTCTCGAGTAGCTGGGACTACAGGTGCATGGCACCACGTCCAGCTAATTTTTTCAATTTTTAGTGGAGACAAAGTCTAGCTCTTGCTTAGGCTGGTCTCAAACTCCTGAGCTAAAGCAATCTTTCCGCCTCAGCCTCCCAGAGTGTTAGGATTACAGGCATGAGCCACATGTATATTTTAATAATTTGAAAGAAAATAGCTCTTTTATACCTTTAGTACAGGGTATTAAGTCCACTTTCTCAAATTTTAAAAGGATGATTGATTGGAAAACCTGTTCATAATGCAGTGAAAAGATAGTGTTATTCCGCCAACATCATATGATTTAAAACGTTCTAAAGCTTTTTTGGCAAGTAGGTCTTTGGTCCTGGTTTGGCCTAAAAGAATCACCATTTATTGTTAGCTGGCCAGCATAATGCTTTGACTTTTGAGGTTAGGTAAGGAGTTATTTAAAGGCCTTCCTGTATAGTTGCAGGCTTATTAGTTTTTACTTAGAGATCTGTTTACCTGAGTATGTAACCATCCATTTTCCCTCCATAGAAAATCTGCAGCTGTGCTTAGGGGAGTTTCTACCAAGGCTTCTAGATCCTTCTGCAGAAATCATTGTCTTGAAGGAGCCTCCAACTATTCGACCCAATTCTCCATACGACCTTTGTAGCCGATTTGCAGCTGTCATGGAGTCAATTCAAGGAGTTTCAACTGTGACAGTGAAATAAGCCCCCACATGTTCAGGCTCATCCTGGGATCTGGCCTGTTGCACAGAAGTCTGTTGTCATGGTACTCACCTTGGGAAAGGATTAGATGGACAAGTACAACTCAGATTCCAACCCCAGCCATGCTGCATGTGTAAAGAAGGATTGAAAAATAAAATTGCACTTTTTAGGTACAGAATCATAAAAGCTATTTCACTAGAAAAGGCAGGAACCAGTGTATGGAGGTACTCAATTACGCCAGAAGACCTGAAATGCCTTTGTACCTACAGTAAGGCTAGGGCTTTTCTAAGCCTCTTGCCACTTTTTAAATTATCCTTCAGGCATAAATAGTTTTGACAGCAGAATAGAAGAGTGATTCATCAGAACCTGAACCAGGTGAATAGCTACTAGTTACTTTATTAAATACAGGTGACATTTAAAAATTCTTAACTGCAAGAGATTAGGAATATAAACTCTGCCTAGCTCTTGACAGGAGATGACAAAATGGGTTGCTGATGAACCTCGCCCTTTTACATGTGGGTAGAATATAAGATCACATGGCAATAAGATGCTGAAAAGTCAAGAGAATTGCCTCTCCTTTCTTCTCTCCTTTGTCTTTTTAAAGAAACCAGAAAACCTCATAGTCAGCCCTGAGTGAAAGAAAGGAAAGCAGTTGAGGACTTCAGACAGAATAGCATTGTGAAACTTGACTAAAGATAGTGTGTTAATAATTGTTAGCCATGTAGGTAAAATTTTCTAATATCCCCAAATTGTCAAAAACAGGTTTCTAAGGCTACTGCTGGCCCAAAAGACGATTTTAATCCCCCACCCGTTTTTTGCTCTTAAAAAATATGGGATGTGGATTTGTAAAAAGAAAAAAACTATATGTATATGTAGAGAGAAAGATATTCCCTGTTGACCATTTTTAAAAGGCTCTCAATTGGATATTGTATTTTAAACAGATTTTAAGATTAATGGTGGAATTGTGGGAGGGAAGGACACTTGATACTTGATACAACTATGCAGATTTTATAAATGTGCAATAAAAATATTTGTTTTACCTTTGGTATACAGTGTACTTTGTTTAAATATATATTTTTCATTTTGGAAATGGGTGGACTCAGGAAGCATTTTGTCTTGTTTCAATTTTTGTTCTTTAAAAGAAAAAAGCAGATGAAAGCATTGAGAAACTTGATGGGATGGGGGTACCAGTGTTTGAAATAGCAGGCAACAGTCAACTCTTGAGCAGCACCTAGTGGTGACTGATACCTTTTCATCTCATTTGCTATATGCATTGCAGGTAAGTGTGTCAACTTTTTAATTTTCAAATTTTGGAATGTGAAAAAAGTGATTTTTTAAAAACTCAATTTCTTGTACAGTTTTTCCATGGTATTTGTGGAGGATGGGTTCCAGGACCCCCATGCATACCAAAATCTGTGCATGCTCAGGTCCCAAAGTTGGCTCTGCAGCACCCACACATAGGAAAAGTCAACTCTCCCTATGCTCAGGTTTCACATCCTGCAAATATTGTATTTTCAATCTGTGTTTTGTTGGGAAAAACAAAATTCCTCGTGTAAGGAGACCCATGCATTTCAAACCCATATTGTTCAGGGTCAAATTGTATGTTGGTTAAATTAATAGTAGGTCATCTTTCATAGGCATTCAGAGGTACTTTTGTGTTTTTTGTTTTGTTTTGTTTTTGACACAGAGTCTCACTTGGTTGCCCAGGCTAGAGTGCCATGGTGTCAGCCTAGCTCACAGCAACCTCAAACTCCTGGGCTCAAGCAATCCTTCTGCCTCAGCCTCCTGAGTAGCTGGGACTACAGGCATGCACCACTATGCCTGGCTAATTTTTCTATGTGTGTTTTTAGTTGTCTAATTAATTTCTTTCTATTTTTAGTAGAGACAGAGTCTCATTCTTGCTCAGGCTGGTTTTGAACTCCCGACCTTGAGCGATCACCTCGGCCTCTCCAGAGTGCTAGGATTATAGTCGTGAGCCACCTTGCCTGACCTGCTTTTTTTGTTTTAAAAGCTCATTGCAAAGATTTGTTTCATGGGAAGTTGATCAGTTTTCTAACCCATTGATTACCTTTTACTGTTTAAAATTCTATGTACCATCATCTGCCTTTCACTTATTCCTTTTCATTGAGTTGTGTACATAGTGCTTCAGTTATGTAATTTCATTTCATTTCACAACTCTGGGATGATGATAGGAACTGTGGTTCATCCAGAGTCATAGATCTCTTTAAATTGTGGAACCAGGACACTAACTTTGGTGTGTCTGACTTCATAGCCTATGCTTTTAAGTACTGCTCAACTGTCCTTGGTAGTCTTGTAAAATGTATTGTTTTGTGTCTCCTGCATTTATTTCCTGGTAGGCTCTTGGGAATCTTCACTTGACCAACAAAGGAACAGGTGGACTTCTGTAGTGTCTTTGGATCCACTCAGACCACCAGGGGGAGTGCTGAGAACTAATTCCCCCCCCCCCCTCATTTTAGGTGGCTGCCTTTAGGGACAGCCTGGTTTCTTACACTCCACAAACTAGGGTCTTAGATCTTTGTTTTGTTTTGTTTTGTTTTGTTTTTTACAGCCTTCAGGCTAAGAATGGTTTTTACCTTTTTAAATGGTTGAGAAGAATAAGGATGTGGGAAGGAAGGCAACAAGAAACCTATGTGACCCTTAACCAGAATGTTTCAAGAGTTTGAGCACCTCAGCCTAAACCCCTTTGAGACTGTGTTTAGACTTTGCATGTTTAACTGGAATTGGAATTCTTATTTTGTTTGGACTTGTTAGCTCCTTTAAGAGCTGGGAGGTATATAAATTCCTTTTTACCCTATCCACTTTAAGAAAGTATGAGGTAGATATATACAGCAAAACTATTTAAATAAATTAATGAACAAGAGGCAGGATTGAATGGAGAGCTGAGGATATAGCAAGGATAGGCTAGAAGGAGGAATTAA